ACTGGAATCCCCAACCGGATTCCCTAAGGCCTGCTAGCAAACATTCCGAGAACGCGATCTCATCATTGGCAAGTTTTTCCGAACTTCCATATCACACTCTCCTCGAACCATACAGCCACATGGGTCGTCTTCCTTTCAGACAAGGATGCAAAACTTATCCTAGTCTCAAAACTGCTCCCGCTTCTGAATCCTTGGGCGATTCTCCCCCACTTTGATTCAGCTAATGCCTTACAGCACACAAAACTGGAAGAATTCCCAATCCTTCTCACCACCCATGACCAATCTGCTAGAAACCACGCTTACCATTGCTAGTGTTTTCAATACCAGCTAATCCAAAAGATCACACAACTTCTAAAAAAAATCCGAATAAATCTCCGGTAATAACCCGCTAGACCCAAGAAGTTTCGAATCTCAATTGGAGACCTCGGAATCTCCCACTGCATCACGGCCTCTATCTTGGCCGGATCGACTAGTACACCTTTCTGGTTGACAGGGTGCTCAAGGAATTGCACCCCGCGCAACCAAAACTCACAATTGGAGAACCTTGCGAAAATTCTCTCCCTCCTCAAAGTCTCTAGCACCTCCCTCAGGTGCTTCTCGTGCTGCTCCTCAATCTTGGAATAAACCAAGATGACGTTGTACTTTCCCAATTCCGTAATCTGGGGAATTGCTCTATCACAATTCGCTAATGCTTCTCGGCATGCAATTGACATATGACATCTCTTAAAAATACAATTCAGACACAAGCGGAGGATAAGTCAGGGTTACACTTACTCAAACCCTTGAAACGAAAGACTCCCTTGTGTAGTTTCCCGCAAGTGTTGCACCGAATCTGACCCCGCTGGCCTCTCAGAAGCTAATCTGAAATCTACGGTCTCCTCCCGAGACCCCTCACTATAAGCAACTGATCTGGTTCCCTCTTCCCAGTGTGCTCTAAGTCAATATCCCGCTCTCGAGCTCTAGAAGTCATATTATCCAGGGTCTCACACCCCGAGGTACTCCCGATCTACTTGCTATCATTCTGTGGTATGGTCTGATAACTTACCTTCTTCGTTTCCTCATCTGCTGCATATTGTGGTACCATATAAGCTCTTTCCCGGGACTTGGCAGTGACCTCTGCCACAGTCTCAGTCGTCTAGTGGAGATCTAACAACTCTTGCGCCAACTGCCGCGCCTCAATCGCCTGGGCACACTCTGCCCAGAATCTGGTCTGGAAGTCATCTCATGACATAGAATCAACCACGTCATCACTCAACTCACTGCCAACCTCTTCCTATCAATATCGTGCTCTATCCCCCAGGAGACAGGAAGTAAGCCAGATCTTGTCTCCTTTCGAGACAATGTCTGGTACAAAAGTGTTGGCGACATCTGCCAACCATCTGCTGCTAACAATGGGGTCCCTAACCCCCATGAAAATTTGAAGCCTCACAAACTCTGAATTCCCGAAACATCAACGTACGGGTCTCTATCATGACTGTTATCTTAGTACAAAATGCACTCGGCCTCTCATCACAAATCTCTATAATTCCATCCTTGACCACACTGAGGATCACAGGAGTCTGGTCAATGATACTGCCTGTAATTCTCAGATGGAATGAACTCCCTCATCTGATCATCAATCTGCCCGGCTCTAGAGTCCGAGCCTGATCCCTCGTCGACACCAAAACTACCATCTGGTCTATCACGTAGCGCCACTATACTCGACAACATACGCTCATTAACATCACAATACTCATCCAAACTCGAGGGATCTCACACACTACAAGTTCCCTGGTCTTATCTCAGCCTTCCTTGATTCGAGTACGGATCCTCTGCTTTCAGTAGTACGGACCCATACTACCTTCCACATCTATCCGTACTTTCCTCAAGTACTGCCTCGACTCCACCAAGTTACCACTACTGCTACTCTCATCCTAGGCTTGCCCTAGGGAAATCTCTGACTCCACCCAACCAATCCTCAGCTGCTGAAGGCCTCCTTGTAATGCCAATTAGCCATCACCTAAGTACCATCACATGTGGCGAGGCTCAGATAATTCTTCGAGTAAAAGACTCGTCCCTACAACGGTTAGACTCAAACAAGAGCTGCGCAATACGGCCAAATCTAGCACTCTGAGATTATCCAACCCTGATCACATGTGACGTGACGTATTCACCTAATGGCTAACTCTCATCACTCCGAGTCCCACAAAGAACAAAGCAAGCAGCATTCAGACACATGAGACTACTCAAGCAATTCTACCCTCATAACAAGAAACTGTACTAGCATACAATGTTAAGCTCATACTATCAGGCATAACCTAAACATGCTATCCTACTGCTGTCTACTCAATACTAGCATGCAACTCTCATAAGCTGAAACACATATAGCAGGCACATAAGGCATCCTCCTAGATCCTTAGTCCTATTCTAGCATGATGTTCTACTGAAACTGGAACTGATAAACATAACATAAACTTGTATGGGTAATTTGGGAGTACCTACTTGAGCTCGGCTGATTGCATGCACCACACCCTTTTTCCTTTTTCAAAGTTCTTCTCTTTCTAAAAATTCTTTTTGCTGTTCTAAAACTCTTTTCTTTTTAAGTTTCTTTTTGCTTTTCTAAAACTTTTTTTTTTGAAAACTTTATACCAGTTCCTTAGTTTGAGTTCAGACACACTCGGGAGTGCGCCCGAATCCCTCAAACCAAAGCTCTCATACCAACTTGTAACATCCCAAAAATACAGTCTGAAAATTTCGTTTTAAATTTGTAATAAAACCATATTCATCAAACGTCATATAAGAATCATAAACAATGTATCTCAAAATATCATAACAACTGTCAAATATATCAGAGTATAAACATCCCAGGCTGAACAAATGGTGTGTGCACTGCAATCTTCCCGAGCTCCTCTTTTGAATACTGAGTACCTGAAACCAAAACTGAAAACTGTAAGCACGAAGCTTAGTGAGTCTCCCCAAACTATCACATACCATACAATAACATATAAAGCAACTACTGGGCCTTGCCCACTGCATCGGGCCCCACCCGGCATCGGACCGAAGTCCGGACTAACTTGGGCCCCGCCCGGCATCGGACCGAAGTTCGGAATAACTTGGGCCCCGCCCACTGCATCGGGCCCCGCCCGACATCGGACCTAAGTCCGGAATATACTTGGGCCTCGCCCACTGCATCGGGCCCCGCCCGGCATCGGACCGAAGTCTGGAATAACTTGGGCCCCGCCCACTGCATCGGGCCCCGCCCGGCATCAGACCGAAGTCCAGAATATACTTGGGCCTCGCCCACTGCATCGGGCCCCACCCGGCATCGGACCGAAGTCCGAACTAATTTGGCCCCGCCCACTGCATCGGGTCCCACCCGGCATCGGACCGAAGTCCGGAACATATAACACATAACATAAACATGCATGAATCACAAAGACATCAAGCATACATAACTACTTCTCGGGTTTCCCCGACATCGGACCGAAGTCCGGGACACATAACATATAACAGGTAAGCTAAATCACTGCATCGGGCCCCGCCCGGCATCGGACTGAAGTCCGGTACTACTAACATCTAAACGGGCCGACATTGGTGCCTTAGACCCGTTGCTACTGAAGGGAAACTCACCTCACACTGCTGAAGTCCCGTAGACACAATCCCATACTGCTGAAGTCCCGCATACATAATCCCAGGCTGTTGAAGTCCCGCAGACTCAAACCCAGCTGTTGGATGACAGATTCCCGAACTGTCAACACCAAAATAACACCCAATTAATAATTAGGTTCTATCTCATATCCATAATTGCATGCTTGGGGTAAAAGACTACTTTACCCTTAACTTAGCTTGACTCAGTCCCGAGGCCCAATCCAAAGGCCCAAAGTCCAACTATGGCTCAAAGCCCAACCTTTGGCCCAATTTTCCAAATTGGGCCCAAACCTCTACATGGACTTCCCTTAAGGCCCAATTGTTCAGTCCAATCCAACATGTCTCATTCTAAGGGCCCAATATCATAAAACCATCTAGGCCCAACTATGGCCCATCTATGGCCCAATTTTGCAAATTGGGCCCAATCCTTCATATGGGCCTTACCCTAAAGCCCAACTAATTACTCTAATCCATTTAATTATTCTTGGATGGCCCAACACAAAGCCCAAGTGAAACTAGGGTTTCACATAAAATGAAGATTAGGGTTAAGTGTTTCTTACTTAACCCATTAAGGACTTAATCCATTAAGTCCTTTACTCTACTAGATAAATGATGTGGAGAAATTGGGCTTAATACACAATCCAATCTCAATAGCCCAAAAGTGGGTCCAATAAGTCTAAGGCCCAATTACTCACAATTAGGGTTTTCTAAACCCTAAATAGGGTTCCTCACCCAAATGTGGCCCAATAGGCCCAAAATTAATCTTTAAGCCCATTAGGGTCTTGCTAGGTCCATTAGGGTTTGCGTGTGGGGAACCACCCACTACCGCCTCGGGTAGTGGTGGTCAATGGCGGCTCACGGCGGCGGCCAACACCTTACGGTGGTGGTTACTATTATTTTCATTATTTCATGCTAATTACAATTACAAGGCTTTTATCCAAATTACAAGGCTATTATCTTCAAATGAAGTCCCATAAATTACCATTAAACCCTTAAGCCTTCACTTCTTTTCAATTCAAGTCCCGGATGTACACTTTTAACCCTTGAGTTTTAAAAATTCTTCACAAATTAGTCTGGGACTTATATTTATTAATTTATTTAAATAAACGCGGTGTTATAGAATTTCCATTGTTTCTGATGTTTGGATACATTTTATTGTAATACCTGTTTACCGCTTCACGTTTTCTACTGTCATATATGTGTTGATAGAAAATTGTCCCTGATTTGTGTGAAAGTAGCTATAGCCTAATATCTATAAATATATAGTTAACGTTGACTTATATTGCTTTTGTAGTTTTTTCTTATTGTATTTGCAAATTTTCTCATTTTTCTCAGCTGACTTCCAGATTAAAAGAGAGATCCCTATAACGAAGATGATGAGGCATCCTAATATTTTCATACTCCATGAGGTATATTTAAAATGATGTGATATGTACGCTTGTACCCACAACTTGTTTGAAGAAATGCCTTTTTGTGTTCATGTGCCTGAATGGAAACTCTTTGACCTAATTAGAATCTTTCATTTGTCACATAACTAACAATGTTCTCTTCAAAATGTAAATCTTGTATGAACATCTTCTCGAATCTTGGTCATTTTTGTGTGTGAGTTAGTAACTGAAATGTTAATATTGGTTGAGTTTTTATTTTTCAGGAAAGTGAAAGTGAAGATGATGAAATTGATGATCACAATGATGAAGAAAATGATCATGAACAAGAAGCAGAGGTAGAAAAGGAGGTGGTGTATGAAAAACCTGCATAAGTTTTGCCTCCAAAGGACACTGATAGGCAGCTTTCAAAGAAGGTATTTGTGTCTTTTTCCAAGTGATGAAGTTTTATTAAAAAAAAGGGAAAAAAGAAGATATAATATATGTTGCGTCGCATAATAAACTTCCTTTCATATATTGGTTTCTATTTTTGAGATGGCATTATGACATTTTTTTACAGATTTTTTTATAGTTACTCGTACTATTAATTCAGATTTCTCATCTTCATTATAAACTCGAATGGAAATGTGTGCAGGGTTTCCCCGAATATCGAGATGGATGTGCACACGTTCTTGGTCAACAGAGAAAGAGTCATCGATTACTTGAATTCATTAGAAGGGTATGTTTTTTTGGTTATTTTTCTTAATTGTTTGAGACTGGATATGAAGCTTGAATTATTTTTATTGACTAATTTCCCCATAAATTCAAATCTGAAACAAAAGAATCAACCTTAGATATCCGATTTATAGGCATATGTTGCAAAAGTAATAGTCATATATCCTAATTCAGTCTACATTTCCTTCTAATTTTTAATTTTATAAATGATTAATATGAAAATATGGTATTCAAACTACTAAACGATCCAAGCATTTGTGTGAAGTGATATTTATGTGACTTTAAGCCATTTGATCAGGTTCTGTTCTCACTACTACATCTGTTATGGATAAATGGATCATTATTTTTTGTTCTTGAATTTTCTTTTGAGTTTATTGGGAAAATTTTAAAATATGCAATTATGATGATTGATCTTATGTTTCCACTTCTAACCCAAATCCATAAATCTTTGTAGTTGTATGAGCTTCTTATTTCATTCCGTCATATTGTTGTATGTGCTTAATCTGTTCTCTCTGATGTTATTGTATTGCTTCTAATTTATTAACCATTTATTTTTTATTAAATTCAAATAAATATTAATCCGTGAGCTAACAAAAAAATGCAGCATATTTCCACAGATGGAATGGCTTTAGGAAGTGTTTTTATTTTATACGGATCTGTTAGTGGGCCGTCAAAAACAAATTTTCTTCTTGCATATGAGTGTCCTCAAGAGGTATAAAAAGTGAACAACTTTTTACTAAATCTAATTTAATGAATTAATTAGCATAAAACAATTAATTGTTGCAGATTGGTTATTATGGGATCTTAGTGAGGTCTGGTTTACTGTATTTAAAGCCCTGTTCTTCAACTTTCTCTCTGCATTGGTGGCACTAGCATGAACTGCTTTGGTTAGTTAATTTTTTTTAATTAAAGCAAAAAAATGATATATTATATTAGATTGTTTATTAAAATGATAAATAATAATAAATAGACCAAATAATAGGCCTTATCATTAGTTTTATTCTATCACTTCAATCTACAATTGGTTAATACTTTTTTTATTTCTTTCTTTCTGCAGGATCATTTTCACAGATTGCTTCAATGGAACTCATCCACTTGCATCACGTACCTATTGATTCTAGACTCGCAAATGTGTTGCTACAGATCAAGTCTGAACTAAATGTACACATGAGTGATAATTCTTTGTAAATTGGATAATACTTCTTTATGTCGATTTATTTTTCACCTAAATTGCTTTCATAGAAAAAGAAAATAAATAAAATAGATAACATATTGTAAATATCGAAGGTTTCCAACCCCTGCAACATGGGGGAACCCTTTCTAGTTAAATTTATATTTACTACATTCTCATATATTTTTATGAATATTATAATTGGAATATTGGATTTTGTTGAATATTTTTGTCATACTAAATTTGCACCTGAACTTATTGTTATTGAAAAAATTGCTATGAAACTAATGGCTACGGAATTTGCTACGTAACAAATAGCTATAGAATTTGCTACTGACCAAATGGCTACGGAATCTGCTACGGAACGAATGTCTACGAAATTTGTTACGGAACGAATGGCTATGGAATTTGCTACATAACAAATAGCTACAGAATTTGCTATGGACCAAATGGCTATAGAATTTGCTACGGAACAAAATAGATACGGAATTTGCTACAAAATTCATTGTTACGGAATTGTGATGGAGGTGTGTTGTAGTTGAAATGCTACGGATAGACGTCGTAGCAACGGCCGTAGCAAAATTGCTATGGAACTATAATTCCGTAGTTAAACATTTTGCTACAAGAAATCTTACTATGGAATCTCATTGGCAAATTTCGTAGCAACTTCGGTAGTTATTTAGGTTTAACTATGGAATTTCAGTTTTTTGCTACGAAATTTTTCTGTAGTTAAATCGAAATTTTCTTTAAGTGCATGTAGTTTGTCCTCTACCAATTTGGCGAGACCATACGCCTGCGAAGTGTGGTTGGATGAAGGATCGCCATTTCATTCTGGATATTCGCGCACAATCCGGAAAGAAAACAGTTGAGGAGTGCTTCGGTGCTAAGGCCCGTGACACAGTTGCTCGTCTTTTCAAATTCGGCTTGGAAGGCGGAGACGGTGGTCGTCTGGCGGAGTTTGAACAAGGTGGCCTGATGATTTTCGTAAGTGGAGGGGCCGAAACGGAGTTCCAAGGCGTGGGAAATGTCCCTCCAATTGCCAAGTAGTCGGTTGTTGGCGAGATGCTTGTACCAACTAAGTGCTTCGCCAGTGCAGTAGAACACAGTGAGAGTGACACGTTGAATTTCGGGGATGGAGTAATACTGGAAGTAGTTGTTGGCTTGAAATATCCAGTCAAGGAGGTTGGTACCTTCGAAGTTGGGTAATGAGATTTTTGGCTGTCGAGGCTGTTGGTGCGGTGGTGGTGGTGTGACTGGTGGGGGTGTTGAGGGTGGTGGCCGATGTTGGTGGTCGGTGGATAGGATGGTAACCAGTTGGTCAAGTTTGGTGGCGTTAGCATTGGAGATTTGTATAAGAGCTTGGAGTTGATCATGCAGGTTTTGGGGAGAATCTTCTGGTGAGGAGGTGGACGTGGAGTCTTTCTTGGGAGCCATGAGAACGAAGATGAAAGCACCAATTGATAGCAGCCACTTCGAGAGGGCCAATCTCCAGAATTAAGCAAGGAATAACGGAAACTTTTTGGAACAATTTTCTCAATATATTTCTCCTCCACTTCTGTTACAATTTAAAGAAAAACTCATGACACTACTTATTCCCTATGAATGAAAAACATGCATGCAATTAAACGTGGAGTCCTAGAATAATGCAACTAATCTAACTGGTGATGGACCCGGTCTTTATTCATGGTTCTAAGCAAAGTGGAGAGCAAGCCGTTGAATCAGTCTTGGAGTCGTGCTGGAATATTCCTTTCCCTCTTGGGCCATTCATGCTTGTTGACTGTTGGGCTTCCGTTGGTATTAGCTGTCTTGTTGGGCTCGTGATGTGTATCAGCGTCCTCTCTCTCTCTCTCTCTCTCTCTCTCTCTCTCTCTCTCTCTCTCTCTCTCTCTCTCTCTCTCTCTCTCTCTCTCTCTCTCTCATTTTAAGAACCATTTCTGAGTAATCCTTCTTTAGTTTTCCTAAATCATTTGGGTTGACCGACCATAAGGACTAAACTACATATCAAGCCCACAATCAAATGCTAATGAGTGACGAAGCGCTCATTTTTTCTTGTGGCTATTTTGGAGTTATACTGATCTTTTCTACATTCTACAATTGTGGGTTGATTCTTTATCCTAATGGCAAACCTCAAATCATTCAACATTGAGTGGATATTGGGAGATTGCAATACTTGTTCTTGTCGTTTTCTCTTTTTTATCACAGGTGCTGCTGTGGTGTCAATTTTTTGGCAAATTTCTGATGCTCTAATCTCTAAAGACGGCTTCTCAGATTTCTATTTGGTTCCCTCATGAACACTTAGGTTTAATGAAGCTTTTGACCTTGGGTGCTTTTTCCTTTTTGTTGCTGTTGTTGTTTGAGATTTAAAGAATGAAATTTGGATTATCTCCAGATCCAAGATGATAAGGACTCGAATTATCAGTAATTTGAGAAGAATTACTTGATGAGGGATGAGAATTCGTTGATTGAGGCATAATTGCAGAAAACGGAGTAAGAATTTGAAAGAAGAAGAAGATGGATCGAACACAATTAATCTGATACCATGTCAGATTGATATGAACTGATTGAAAGAGAGAAATCTCATTTTCATTGATTGAAGAAGTGTACAATACAAAGGAATAAGAAACATATATAGATACTACTCATAGATACTACTCGCTAACACGGATTGATGACCTGTAACATAGTTGCCCTACTACTTTGGAGTTTGAAGAAAATTAATCTGGGTTTTCCGTGGATTAAAATAAACCCAGATCATATTCAAATCGTGAAGGGAGGGATGATCGATTTGAGAGTTTTTCTTGTTATTGTTGTTTTATCGATTAAGAGGATAAGGGAAAAGAATGTTATTGCAGAGATTGGAATGATAATAGAGTAGAAATCTATGTGTGTGACTGTGTGAAAGAAGAGGGAGTAACGCACGTTTTTAAACAAAAAAAAGTGGAGCTTTTTCTCTCTCCTGTAACCCTAAGTAATACAAGGATATAAATACCAATAGATATAAATGTCAGTGGAACTATAAAAAGTTAAAAGTGGAAATATATACCCTTTATATTTATATTTGGATCTGACCAAGTATCCAATAGCTAATTTCATGGGGTCCGGGAGTACGCGTGTATGATTGGATCATGACAATTATTATTGTTGATTGAGATTGTTTCACGGGCATCCACTCAATTTTTTCCTAGAATGTCAGTTCTCCATCGTCATCGTTCACAATAAATTTAGAATCCAAGAAGAGCAGCTAGCAGCAAGATCGAAATGGAGATCAGCAAGTTAATTTTGGTTTCACTTACATTGATTTGGTGTATAGGGGGGATTGTTGAGGGTTTCACATATGATGACAAAGAGGTTGAGACAGAGGAGGGAAAGTCGGCTATGTTTGAAAGGTGGAGGAGCCACCACAATATGCAGGGTATGCGCGACAAAGACAAAAAGAAGCAGTACGAAGCGTTCAAGGCTAACCTGGACATTGTTCACTCGACAAATAAGGCAAAGAAGCCATATAAGTTACAGATGAACAAGTTTGCAGGGATGACTAAGGCCGAGTTTCAGAGCAAGTATACTGGATTGAAGGCTTCTCCAAAGATCCGGCCAGGAATGAAGTCTGTCGTCAGCGAGGCGGAGTGGCCGCATCCTTTCAAGTATCGTAATTTCACTGATGTCCCACCGGCTATTGACTGGAGAGCCCAAGGTGTCGTCACCCCTGTCGTGAATCAAGGAGGATGTGGTAAGTGGTAACACGTACGTTTTTGCTTTCTATAAAGAGGATATATTTGTATTTGTATTTGTAATTATATACTATTACACATGCATGCAGGAAGTTGCTATGCGTTTGCAACAGCAGATACAATTGCATCGTTACACGCGATCAGAACAAAGCAACTAATAGAATTATCACCTAAAGAAATTCTCGACTGTTGTAATTGTGGCGGATGTGAGGGAGGGAAAATGCACGATGCCTTCTTGTACGTTGCAAACAATAAAGGTCTAACAACAGCCAAGAACTATCCTTACAAGCCTGTGGCTGAGACTTGCAACGTTAAAAAGGTTAGTTTGAGTAATGCATGCATGTCGCAAATCAAAACTTGTTGGTACATGCATGTATCATCATCATCATCATCATCATCATCATCTCATCTCAACTTTTTGAATGAATAACAGGAGCAGGATGTTGCGGTAGAAATTCATGGATATGAGCGGGTGCCATTTAATTCTGAGCCGGCTCTTATGGCATCAGTTGCGAACCAGCCTGTACAAGCTTCAATTGAATGTGAAGAACCTTTTATGTTGTATAAAGAGGTAACTCAAACCGAATACAAAATATTATTCATCTGTTTACCATAATTAAAAGATAGATTAATTAATTAATAATTGAACGAAATTAATTAATATATATGATTAACAGGGAGTTATGACCGCACCCACTGGAACGAAAACTGGGCATGCAGTTGTACTTGTTGGATACGATACGGATCCTGATGGAACCAAATACTGGATAGCGAAGAACTCTTGGGGAACAGATTGGGGAGAGCAAGGATACGTCAGACTCCTTCGTGGAGTTCCTGAGAAAGAGGGGTACAGTGGGGTAAATACGAAACCTCGCTTTCCTACCAGGGAAGAAGCTGGTCAAGATGATACAGGACGCGGCGACCCTGTGGTTCATATGAGTAGAGACCTCTAGAGGAACCACAACATACTCTACTTATTAATCTCCCTTCTGGCAGGATGCGAGGTATGATACGATTACTGATAACGGAGATTCATAAATTTTCTTTTAATTTTGTAATATGGAATTCAACATATAACACTTCTTTATACCCAAAAGTTTGTGGCCAAATCATGTTCGAGCATTTGTTTCTTAAGATGAATGGCTACAAAACATCTGATTTTGGCGGTGCCATTATAGTAATTATGATGGAGTTAATTTTTGATGTAAAAAATTGTACGGATAAAAATGTAAGTGAGATGTTATTGACGCCCCATTCATATCATCTTCCAGGTTTATGCGCCTGGATTTGTTTCTCAAGAACTCAACTGACAGTCTGACATGTTTCAGCTGTCTTAACAGTTTATTTTTATTTTTCTACGAATTTGTTTTTTGTCCTAGTTTTTTTTTCTTTGTAATGAAAACTAAAAAATCGTTGTTCTTAAATATTTGTTTCATACAAAATGAATATAATAATGAAAACTAATAAAAAAACTTAATGTTTATATTATTTTTCTAAAACCAAAAGAAAGCAATTAGGTCCGCATTTCATTGAAATTTAAGAGAATATTCTTGAGTTAGGTAAATAAAACCGGAAACAAATTAAAAAAACATCAAAAACTGATAGGATCCAAAGTTATTTATTTTATGCAACTAAACAAGATACATAGATAAGTTACCTACAATTGAAGTCTAAGAAGAATTCTAAAAACTCAAACTGGAGTTTCTCTATCAAAATTGAAAACTTTGGCTTCAAACATACAAGATTTTCAAGCTCTCTTCTTTCACAACAAGAAAATGCACCTTTAGGGACAACAACATGCGTCGCAAATAGTCAAGATTGTCGCCCCTAAAGGTAATAGGGACGACATGTCGTCTCAATTGGGTCGCCGCAATA